TTCCCTACTCTCTGTTCCCTCTCCGGGTGTGTGGGGGCTCTAGTACTATGTCCCTCTCCTAGAAGAGGGCAGGAGAGCACATCTTCTGATTTTCATGTTTACAGGGTGGTTATATTTTTTTTCCCCTTTCAAAAGAGGATGTTTTTGTTGTTTCCTGTTCAGAAGGAACCACGAATAAACCCAGCTTGGTTTTGAGGGGGGATGGGACACCATTTTTTAAAATGGAGCTTTACAAAATATTAAAAAAAACGTTTTATACAAAGTGTCTTCAGTGGGGTCACCACTGTGATGTAAAGACCTTTGTAATAAAGTTAACAGACTGAGAAACCTGGGCATGTGTCTGATTTCCTGCATCATCACCTGGTGGGTCCTCAGAGCAGCTTTGTTTCTAGTCTGCGTTTTGCTGACTTACAGAAACTTCCAGAGCCAGTTCTGGCATGTGAACCTTGCAAGGCTGAACTTCCAGTTCTTTAAAATAGAGCTAGTTGCTTCAGAAGCACTTCTGCTGCATGCCGCGGCTCAGCGGCAATAACATCTTTGCTAAGAAGGTGAAACTCTGGTAGATGGAAGTGCAGCAGCAGTTGTGTCGATGGCTTCGTTGTGTGTTAAAATAGTGCTTGGCTGACCCTGCTTGGTGAAGAGGAGTATTGCATCCTGTCGTCTGAAGAGAGCAAACCATGTATGCATGGCTTTTTCTTCCTTTTTTATCAGCTTGTCTGGCCGTAACAGAAGATACCACTCAAACGCCTCGGCTCCCTTGCTTTTTTGGGACAAGGTCCTAGAGATGCCCCCTGTCTCCCCTCTGCCCTCAGCTGAGGAGCGCTTGGATCCTAGAAATGCATTATGAGGCCAAGATACAGATCACATCTTCCCCTGTCAGTGCAGAGGGAGACCTCTGCTTGCTCCCCCGGGCTGCTCAGAAAAGCTCTCACTACCTCTGTAACCAACCACAGGGCCTGTGTGGTCTTCATTTTGTGCTTGGAGTCTTCTACCTGCCGGTTTAGTTATGATTTCTTTCATCCAGTTTTAAGCAAGGACACGCGGTATGCAAGGCCAGCTTTGACATGACCCCAGGGAGTTGGTAGGGGTTTTCCCCTTGTTTTTTGGAAGGTTGCTCCAGAGCCTGCCAACTTCTACCTTGGGTTTCATGTGGGAAATTATCTTGCTACCTGTGTCCACCCTGGTTAGGTAACGTCGCAGGCTGTGAGTTCAGATGTGAGGTGGTGAAAGACAGGAGCTGTTACTGTTAAGTTGGTGGTGGTGGGGGGTCTACATGAGCAGCCCAGTGGTGAGAGAAGGACAAGAGCAAAGCATTTGGGTGCCTGTCTCCTTGCTCCGTGAGATAGTAAGAAATTAAGTAGCTGAGGACACATAATTAGCCATCTCCTTCATTTGCGTGTACCAGGACTGCACTGTCCCCTGGGACACGCTGGTCAAAAATGGCTTCACTCAGTGTATCCCAGTGAAGCAGAGGATCTCAGGGGAGTATTTAACTTCATCTGCATGTCCTTGGGAGTGCCTGGGGGGAGCTTCAACTGTGAGGATACTTATATTTATAAATACATGGAAAGTACTGTGTATTCCAGAAATAACTGTTATCTACCATTCTGCCCTGGTGCAATGCTGAAAACAGAGCAAAAGCAAAAATCTTTCTTAATTTTTAAAAATAGAGGTGACAGCCCTGAAAAACTTACTGATGCTGCAGCAGCTGTAGCATTCTCAGCTCCTCTCATTATTTCCTCTGCGCTTTGTGTCCTGTCACGTCTGGGCTCCAAGCTCCTCCAAGCTGCCCAAAGGATTTTTGCTTTGCTATGATGGGGATGATGAAACTCTCTGGGGGAAGAAAAAGCAGGGCAGGCAGGGAGAGTCATGGAGTTGGGGCTCGTACCTAACTGCATTCCTTCCTCCTGTGGTTGCATCTGCTCTCCCTCCCTTGCTGCAGGAGGACAGCCAGAGGCAAGCACTGCCGTAGGTACTTCCTTCAAAAGTCATCTGCACCCTGTTAAGCCAAATGCTGTTGCATGTTCTCCTGCTGCATTGGCCACTGGTTTAATTCTCCAAATGCCAAACTACCCAGGGCTGGAGCAAGCCAAGCCTCTCCAGAGGCTGGTGGCTCTGCATTGCTGATGAGGTTTGTTGTTGCCCCCCTCGTGGGTGGGATGGAACTAGGTGGCTGGGACATGTCACCCTGGCACCCCACCTGCCCTCACAAGCACCCACTGGTTCTCCCCTGGGCCTGGTTTCCAGGCTTTCAAGGGCAGCAGGGGTGATGTTTGCTCTTCTTTCTTGTGTTCACTAGATGGCACGCACACTGAAACAGTGGCTCTGGAGCCCAGCTGCTGCCTGCACAAGCGCAGAGCTGGGGCTGAGCTGTCCCCTTGCACTGAAATGTTTGCTCACTCTTCTTCCTGGATTTGTCATTTGCTATGGCACACCTTTCACTGGATCTCTGCTTCTCAGCAGTGCATCAGTATTTTGTTTCCCACTCTAGCATTGTCCTCAGGAGTTTTCCAGGGTTCCCCTGCCCACTAGCACATGTGCTAGGACAGCCTCC